AGTCGTGCATGCCGTAGTCGTTAGACCATTGACCTCGCATCCCTACAAAGCCGGGACGGAGCACGCCGGGTTCTCACCGGACCAGGCTCTCACATCACCAAGCGCGAAGCGCCGTGAGATATTCGGCGAGTCGCATGAAGGGTGCGCTGCATCCTGCTCAGGGTGTTCGGCATCTTGATAGAGGAGGGGGGGGGGCAAAGACAACACCGCTACAGTCCTTTCGCCAAAGACACACCGCCTCGCCGAACAGTGTGTGGGGGCAGTTGCGACGACAGCGCTCTTCTCGAGCCTGTCGTTCACCGAGGCTTGCAACAACATCCCGGAGGGGTCGACCGACAACTCAACAGCAACCTTAAGACTGACGGGAAAAGAACGAAGTACCGACCGGCGGGAATGCCGCACGTCTGTTCTTCTAATCCGAAGAACCGATCGTGTTACCTTATTGACAGACACTGTGGTCGCGGGCTTTGGGCTTCCTGCAGAGACCGTGCAGGATGGCTGCACACGGTCCACCATTCCGGGTGCCGGGTGAGACGCACAGTCTCTGCCGGAAGCCCAAAGCCCGCGACCACAGTGTCTGTCAATAAGGTAACACGACCGGTTCTTCGGATTAGAAGAAGAAAGGAGGTGCGCCGTTCCCGCCGCCGGTGCGGTCAGTTATTTAATATTTGGGGTTGTTGGTCGAACCCGCCGGGATGCTGTTGTTGTAAGCCTCAGTGAACGACAGGCTCGAGAAAAACGTTAACTACACCCACACAACATCTTAGTAGGATGACTCAAGGGGGATCTGTGGGCCATCGAACAACACATGTGGAAACGATGAGTGCCTCCTACACCCCCCCCCGATCCCCGATTATCACTCACAGCCTTCAGCCGTTTCTCCGGATGCCGCTCCGCCGGTCCTGCGCCCTCCAGACTCAGGCTCCCGATCGCGGCGTCGATGCCGCTTGCCCAGTCCCCACCGTCCCCCCCGTCGGCACCTTTTCTGTTGGGGTTCGCGCTCCCAGATAGGTCGGAGTCGTCCCCCATCTGTATGCCCGAGTCTCGCATCGCCTTGGCCTCCTTCTCGGCTCGCTCGGCCTTTGCCTAAACCGCGGTTGACGGGTAAAGGCCACAGAAGGGGAGGCGGGGGATACTCACAGCCGTGCATGCCGTAGTCGTTAGACCATTGACTCCAAATCCCTACAAGCTGGGAAAGGGGGGGGGTGAACTCATGTTTTGCATGCCGTTGGCCTCCGTTCTGAGCTCACTCCGTCTTTGCCTAAAACCGCCGTTGACGGGTTGACGGGTAGAATGCCACAGGAGAAGGGGGGCGGCGGGCGTACTCATGATGGG